TCTTCTCTTTTCCTCTCATCCACCGCGATATCGCGCCGAGCGAGATGCATCCCCTTATCCTCGGACAAATTCTTTTTACCTTGTATTTTTCAACTGTCTCGACGGCGCAAACTCTATTCTTTTCTTTATATATTTTTTTTACAATTTTCCCCGTAATTCCCTTCACATTTAATCGAAACCTCTATGTATTCTTCGATCGATTGTTCATCTTTTCTCAGTCAAATATTGATACGACGAATGTCTGGGCAAGATTGATCATGTCAATATTTCGAAAGGGATCTCGCCCGGGAAGCACTCTCACCCCGAAATAGTTAAAACTGACGCGTTTATAATTCTTTTTATATGAATGCCAGCCACTTATTCATCTCAGTCTAGATCGCTCGTGAAGATCCAAATAGACAATATTTGCGCGGCTGGTTTTCGGTACGAGCGTTTCGCTCGTTGATTTAAGAGGCCGACTAGTAGGCATCTCTCCAAGCAACATAGTCGAGTGATCCACTGCTCTATTTACGAGCGTGTAAAATACTCTTGATCTACTGGGTCGTTTAATTTACGTCGTCAGACCGTGCCGTGGATTAACGACAAATTTTGTCGCTATATGTCTCGGGCAAATCATACCAACGACGTGTTCGTCGTCGTGTTTATTTCCTCGTGGTTCGCGAATCACAACCACGTGGAAATCATACGTAAGCTGCGCCCCTTGAAAAATCGAGAAGATAAAAGTCTCACGATGCTCCTCGGGAATCAATTAAGGACATCTCAAAGCCCAAAGATACGCAGGTATTTAATAATAATAATCCTTATGCATTTTAAGCCCAAACGCCTTCTTATTTTCCGACGTTAACCGTCGTAAGAGAGAAAAACGTGAAACTTTCCCGAGTAAGAACGCCGAACTTCTTCCTGGATATATCGAAACTATCGCACGGTTCCGTACTTCGTTATGTCTCGTATCGATAAAATATACTACCTTGCCCGTTCGCTGTATACCGAATCTGGTGCATCCAGATTGCATCATCGTTGTGGTATATGGGTCGTTAGTCGATGCGCATAATCTTCGATCGCAATCGCGGCTGCTCGGCCGATTATACCTGACCGGGCGTATCGATTCTGTCGGTCGGTACCGATATCGGATTCGTATCTCGGGATGATCCTTCCCGGGCGCAGACGGCTGCGAGATAGAACCGGAGGCACAATTGCGAGCAACCCAGTTTCGGGAATGAATGGCAAATGAGCGCGCCGGAGTTCCTAAGCGAGCCCGCGCCGCCAGCTCTCCTGGGGGAAGTCTTAACCCTTTCGCCGCTAAAAACGACCGTAAACCGCCCGACGGATTACATCAGACTCAAGGAGTTATGAAAATGACTGTCTGCGGAATTAAAGGCCCCGGTAGAACCCAATCCTTGTGGAAGTCTGTGCAACCGAGGATCCGCGGAAACGAGAATTCATCGCGGATTCATTGATATAAACTCGGGACATGACGAAGTGCGTCTCGTCGATATCCGAGAAATCCGCGAGACCTTTGCAGAAAGGAACATTTGCGTACGGCTTGTCGATCGATCGATGATTCAAGCATTTACCAAATATAGTTCCGATACGAGTATTCGATGCAGAAATATTTCTCTTTCTTCCTCATCGCAGTCAAGCATTAGTCATGTATTTCCAAACGATCGCACTATCAATCGGTATTCATATCGACGAATACCCGCGGCTTTTGTCTCGCTCCGACATCGACTTCCGCCGTTTACTCATAGCGTTGTTCGTCGGCTTTTAAATATTATCACTCCGCCGCCACAGCCGTTCGTGCTTATCCGATAATCGACAACGCGTCGGCGAACTGCGCTCTTCGCTTCTTCGAAGTTCGCGCTATGCTGTGAGTCATTCATTAAATATGATCGCTTGGTGGTGGTGGCAATTTGACAAAGACCTCTCTCTCTCTCTCTCTCTCGAACGTCTCGATCGAGCTTCCTCGTCATTTCGTCGACATCGAGTGATGGAACTGAATTTAACGAGCGCAGCAATTAAATTAGATACAAGGAGCTCGGTGGAGTGACCCAGATCGTGATTCCTCGCTCGGCGTTCTCGCGCGTCCAAGTAGCGGCCGGCTCGATCGATACGGCGCGATTCGAGCGTCGTAAAAACCGATGGCTTATTCCTCGGACAGGCGATAACTATCGCCGTAATATAAACGGAAATGTCGGACCACCTGCCATTTTCTTCCGGAAGGTCTGTCACACACAGCGCTCCTATAAATGTTACTCCCTCTTTCGCCCTCGCTATTTTCCCCCCGTTCCTCCCTCCCATCGCACGCACGCAGATATTTCGTCACGACGCGATAATGTATTATCTCGCCGGTAAGGGACTTTACAGTCGTCGTATTTTTACTCGTCGGCAGAGTAATCGCTTCACTAATTTTTTTCGAGTCTTCGCAGGGAGGAAGGCTGGTTGGAATTATTAGGCGACATCTACACGGCGAAGCCGAACTAATATCGATAAATTCGCACCGTGCGAAGGGTGTGTGTATGTGTGTGCAAGCCGTATTGTGATAATTAGTCAGCGAATGCAATAAATATAACGGAAACACGAGGCAGCTGTGAACGAGGCCGTTGAGGTTTATCGGTTATTGCACCGCGCCGTTACATCGTAACGCAATTAAAAAAAAAAAAAAGTATTAATTGAGAGAGCACTTTTTACCCGAAAGCGCTATTGAAATAATCTGAGTGGGTATTTTAAACGCGCCCGTAAAAAATACGAGTGCCCGCGCACGTGTTCGACCACGATAACATTCATTTATTCGAAAATCGCTCGCGCAACTGCGCAACTGCGCGCGCGTACTCCGTTTCAATCGCATAATTGCTAAAACATCAATTGCAATGAATTTTATCCCGCGGCAAAATCCGCACAATTAAATTCGACGTAAATCGATTTTATTGCCGCGGACAATAGATAATCGAATGTACAACCGCGACGCGTTCCACCCTGTGCGGGGCACGCGTGTGTGCGCGCTTCCCCGGGTTCTTATCTATTCACCAAGATCGCCGCGTGTGTTTGTTCGAAAACGAGCGCGCGCACCGTGACCAGGGTCGTCGATTCATTGCGTAGAAAATCTCGTTGCGCACGTTCCACCGCCCAGATACGCCGAAATGATTTCCATATTCGCACAAGCGGCTGATCGTACAATGATGAAACTCTACTTTTCCGGGACGCGCTCTCCATCGCGCGTCGCACTCATAAATATGTTTAATCGGAGAGATATCGCGCGCGTTTCGATGGCTTTAACACGGTGCATCTGCCGCAATTGTGTTAATAATGATGAACATTACCGTCACGGGCGACGATATACACCCGATGCCCCAAGATTTATTAATCCTGAAGTGGTCGCGTAAAATGCAACACGAGTGGTTGCGTGAATGGCCAAGTGTTTTCCACTTTAAATTGACATGATTTTCAATGAAATGTCTTTAGAAAGTAATCATATTTATTTATAGGGAAATGACAATCATAGAATACTTTATTTAAAATAGACGAGAGCAGTCCGTGACTCACAAATATACGAAAGCGCGGATGCTTGTTAGTACTTTTCGAAAAATATACTTCAGTACGCATGGATAACACCTGTCATCCGCGCGACCATTCTACACAGGGAAAAATATTATTTGTTCTACGAAGAAAAGCAATTACTTAATTTTTTCCTTCTTTTGAGCAATGATTATTTTAAACGAAGAATTTTTTTTTATAATAATATTAAAATTGATAACAATATTAAAATATGCTCATCATAAATATTAAGAAAACTGATTTACTCGAAAGGAGAACTTGTTCTCTTTTCACGAATATTATAAAATTTATCAATGGAAAATTAAATTTGTTTATTCGAATATAGAAGTATAAACCAAAGATTTAGTTTTAGTGTTTTAATATAATATTTATAATTGAAATATTAAACTTAGGAGGAAATTGAGAATATATTTCGAATATATTTGACTCTTATGATACACCCGCGATATACTTGTTACATAAACTTGTGAAATACTTAAAACAAGTATATATCCGCAAATATATCACAAGTTTATCATAAGTATATCAAATTTTTTCAAAATATATTTTAAATCCTAAGTAAGTTTAGTACTTTAATAAAAAAATATTAAATTAAAAATGAAACTTCGATTTACTTGTATTCCAGTTAATCGAACTTAACTTTTCTTTGATAAAGTTTATAACATTCTTGAAAAAAAGAACAATTTCTTTCTTTGAATAAATTGATAAATTTTCCCAATACCTGTGGTAAATGTATTTTAACATTACATAAACAAAATATTCTTTGTTCAAGATAACCATTACTTAAAAGAAGAAAAATAAGCTAAATAATTGCTTTTCCTCGTAATACAAGTATTTTTCTCTATATAGAGTTAACGAGTTATTTATTTAAAAAATGCACGACAAGTCCAATTCAGAAAACGAGATTTTCCCGATCGTATCCATGGGAAGTTGCGTGAGACGCAGACGTAGATAGAATAAATGTTAATAATTCTAGAATATCCTGCGTTGAAGGTCGTACGATTCGCGAGGACAAGAATGCGAGAATATCTCACTGCATCGATAGATACGGACTCTCGTGCTGGCAATACAGCTCGCCGCAAACAGGGAAAATTCCACTGTTACGTCGTGTTCGATTTTCGGCTTCGCGTTCGCGAAATAGGAAGGAATCCTTAGAATAAAACCGCCCGCTCGCCATGTAAGTGCGTCGGAAACGAACCGCGCGCCTCGGCAAACGGCTTCTCGTCGTTGCATTTTTCAAAGAGTGCGGAACGAACTTCACGCCCGAACTCGCCGTCTAACGTCGACAGTATCGGCGGTCTTATCAATAATAAATGTCGCTTTTATTACGCCCGAACGAACACCTTCGAAGCTACGGCGATAAGGTCGCGCGCGTGCACGATATGACGCGGGTCCCAGAGGCCAGTGCGAAAAAACGCGGGCTGTATCATTGACTCTTTTATTTCCAGATGCGCCATCCAATCCAGATGAAGCCTGCCGACAGCGAGAACCGGAACGGTAAGTGAAGATTTTAATTACTTTCGCGATAAGCGCGTTGCACTCGGCTCGCGACGGATAGATCGAGGCCTCGATATCGCAGAGAAAGAGAGAAAGAGGGAGAAACGTTCGATCCAAGCGGCCAAACGGCGATATCGAACTCTCGTCCTACTTCTAAGATAAACGAAGTACGGCTTTGTTGTCGATATATCGTAAAAACGAGAGCTAACAATTATTATGATTAATAACCTGCCAGACTGTTACCGTCGCGATCGGCTCAGGTGAAGACAGAGTTGTACGCTGATTATTTCCACCCCGGTGAAAAATAAGACTTCGAGTCCCACTGGCGGAGAATGCAATCAGAATTTTATTTAAAAAAGCATATTAAGTACGGATCTCGTTCAACCTCGGAGTTTTAGAATGGGAACTGAACTCTTTTCGCAACATATAATAAGATTCCGGCCGTGATAGCGAGCTCTTTTAATGGTCGCTCGATCGTCTCGAAGTTCTGGCTCGATTAAGAACGGAATTCCGAGCAAAATGGCATGGCGGTATAACAACCGAAAGAGACGAGACAACAGTACCGTTCACGAAGGTAAGGTTAACTCTCTCTGAGCGTCGCGACCTAGGCGGGGAATGCAGCTCAAAGCACGTTCATTAAGTGCTAATTAATTGGCTGAATTGAGGGGCTTGTCGAGATTGCGTAGTCAAAGAAGACATAATCGAGCTGCGAAGCACCGAGCGGTAGGTAGGTAGGACGATAAAGGTCGGTCAGGAGAGTCGCGAGTATAGGTAAATTTCGCCGACGCGACGTCCCGGTTACCAGGACGACGAAGAAGCCTACGTGCGAATCCTTACGCAACGCGCTCCCAGCGCTTTATCTTTCACGCATCCTTCGAACACTCGCGACTCTCATCACCGAACCGGGTGAATCGCTGATATCGTGCAAAAGCTCCGGATATTGTTCCATTATTATTTAGATGTCATATTCTGATAATCATATTTTAACGCGAAAACTAAGACCGCTCGATTAGTCATATTAATAATGGCTTCTTTCGAACGGCTCTTCTCGTAGAATTTATATTTTATGGAACGAAGATTCTCTCGGAGATTATTAAAATATAAAAATTAAATAAAATTTAATAAAATTATATCATAATTCTTTAATGAATGTATGCAAGATGGTTTACTTAAATCGAATATCTTAAATATTTCACTTGTTTTTGATGGGCTACGGAAAAATGTCTAAGGAAAAAGTTGTATCGTTTCGAGAAGGCAATTATGATAAAAGTTTTTCCAAGATTATTTTTTCAGAGAATTGAAGACCAAAATCATTTTTTTAAAGAGAACTAAATGTGTTTGTTTGCGCGATTTTCTAGTTAACAGCTCTCTCATAGTTAATCATCGAGAGAAGTTCAGTGACCTATGACAACACGACATTTAAGTGATCTTGAACGTAGAAAATTACGCATATTTAAAGAAAACAGAAAAGTCTAACATTATAGACCACCCTGTATATATTCTCAATAACATTCATTAGTATCGAATTACAGCACTCGAATATAGTATTCGAAATATCCGAACGCAATCGTTAGAAAATTAAAAAAAAAAGATTACCGTCCTTGGTGACGCGTACAACGTCATTCATGCAGAGCGAAAGACTTCACATCGAATTCTCCAATATCTCCCAGCGACGCGCAAGCAATTGGACAGGGGTTCGTGTAAAAATTCGGGGTACGTCGGAAAGCGTATCGAATGGCACCGCGAAAACCAGCCAGGGGAGTCAACGGACGCGGCAAAACGCGCGATTTTTTTACGGATAACTGCGCCACGTTAGCAATAAAAATCCGACTACCGGCTGCAAGGGGGTGTGTAACGTAGAGCGTATATAAAACCGGGCACGTCGGTGGGACGACGCAAAACGAATGCTAATGAAATATTAACGACACCCGTCACGTGCTCGCGCTCGGCTGGACCGCGCGACTCCTCTTTCCTCACTCTCTTTCTCCGCTTCTTTCTCTCTCCATTCCTCTCGCTCGCACTCGCTCTCTCCCTGCGCTCTCCGCGCTCTACCCTTTTTCTCCCTTCCTCCCGGCGCCCTTTTTACTCGTCTCAATTTGTTCCCTTTTTTATTTCGTACCGCGCGTAAGAATCCCCCGGGGGACGCTCGCGCGCCGCAGCTCGGCGGTTTTTACGTCGCAGCGCAACAACGCGTTGCCGTTTCGGGCACCGCATCGGCGGCGCTACGTGCAAATGACGTGCCAAATTGTAATCACGCCAAGATTCAAGCGGCTTTACACCTCGCGTTAAGCGCGCTAACCGAAACCTGATTCTGACACTTTGTTTGTTACGGAGGGGGGCTCGGGCTCGCGCAGTTGCGCGAACAAGATCCTGGATCAAGTAACCGCGTTACATGGACCGACGCTCGATCCCGTTTAGCACGGCAGTTAGGTATTAAACAGAAGTTACTTCGTTGGTTAACCATTCAATCGCGACTGCCTCGCAGTTGAACCCCCCTTAATTTTTCAATCGAGTTAGCGGAAGCAAAACTCCACGCGCGCGCGGCGGAAGCTAACGCGCGCGAAGAAGAAATCCAATTGCCTCGCTAAGCGGAAGAATTCACAAACGACGTTTGACGTGCTCCTCAGCGGCCGGAAGAGATGTTTCTCGGCAAAGATCTGACGGAAACCTTTGTAATGAGATCTGAAGGCGGACCACAACTTGACACGAGAATTTCCACACGTACAACCAACATTTCGCACTCCCAATTCCGAGTCATTGTTAAACTTTTATTAAAAATCCCCGAGTTACGGAATATAACAGAGTACCATCGACGCTATTAAATAATTGACGCGGCTAGAACGAGCGTAAGAATTAAAGTTGCATATTAAATAAACGCGATAGTGAAACATTTACAGCTGGATAATACTGTGTACACAGCGCTTAAAAATGTAATGCGGCATAAAGACAGAGTAAAAAATTCACCGCGACCGTATGTCGCAATAATAGCCAGCGAATTAAAATGCTGCGGACATCCACGTCTCTCTTTTTTTCCACTTTTTTTTACATTAAATTTGGAATATATCTGCGCAATTGGAAATTTGAGCAGAACCCAATTGCATGCCGAGGTCGAACGTGGCGAAGAGAGTGCCTGCATTTCCGAGTCGAAATTTTGATGATATTCTGGCGCTCTTAAAGATAGTTTAGTCCTACTTAAACGGTTTATAAACTAATAAAACTCTACTTTGAACGTTACTAACTTCTCCATTTCTCTCTTGAACTTTTAATTCTACAGATTGAATTTTAATACTACCTGGAACAATCCATTTTGACGCGAAAACGGAAATTTAAAACATCATCAGGATCAAAATAAGGGTCACGTTATATCATTTATAGAATTAAAATTGGACATATTTTGCTATCTTAGCTCCTACGCTGCGGAATTAAAGGTTAACATAGGACCAAAATTTCGACTCCGGCAGGCAATTACAATACGCTCGTCCTTGTTTTCACCGATAAACCTCGTTTCCGCCTGCAAACTACAAAATCCCGTCTTATTCGTCGTGGCGAGGCAAAGCAGACGGAACTGGGGTAGAAGTGCATAGCGTCCGGGGTTGTAGATAAAAATGAATAGACACGACGTGGTGTAACCGAAACCGAGATCAGGCTATTCGTAACCGCGCGCACGTGCAATCCGGAAAAGGATTTTTCCATATAGGATGCGGACGTGCGCGCCACGACCGCCATGAATAGTGCCGTTGTGGCTACATGCAAATCCCGGTAAAACGGGAAAATAGTAAACAAGAAGGGAGCACGCGCGCTCGCTCGCTCTCCCGCACACCCGCGTTATCCGGTATCAGAGTATTATAGTTGCTTTTGTCGTTAGGCGAATCTCGTGAACGCGCCGCAACTGACGTAAGCCGAATTCGGATAAAGCAACTACGAGCTCACGTGCGAGAAGCGCGAGATTAGTCAAATGTGAAACTTACCCCCCGAGATCACGTTGACGTAGCATTTCGCGCGCGTGTATGTGTGTGTATGCGTCAGTATATAATCAGATACCGTATAACGAAATTGTTTCACTGTGTATCACGCGGTGACATTTACGAGGATCAGCGTCCGTCGATCGAGGATTGCTGATCGACGGTCGAGGATCAGCTTAAATTCGTCACTCGTCGATCGCCTAAGATTGATGAGCAATTCACAAATGCGGCAAAATCGAATCTTCGAGTTTCCCTAAAAAATGTACCAGATAATACAAAATTCCATCTCCGGTGTGCAATTGCCGAGAGCTAATCGCACGGAGTCTTCGGACGAATTAATAAACTAGAAGAAATGGAGCGATAAGTTTCGCCACGATAGCAAACGGTTATTCTTTCTCGGCGCAAGTTTCTTCTACCCAATCGACACGGCCGTTCGAGCAGAACATTGTTCCGTGAGACAACGGTTTTCAGGCGGGATAATCGAGACCGGACTCTTCCCCATTTACCGATTCGATCATCCGACACCGATGTTTCTCGGTTGATCTCCCGATCGAAAGCAAGTACTGAATGGAGGCGGGCTTCATCTCTCGTCCTATAATTACTCCCGTCATTGACGTAGCGGCGGGCGGACGGTTTTAGCAGCGTTTCCGACGGGATGCACGCCGATGGATCAAGGGACCTCTGTCACAGCGTCGGGCATGTCAGCCCGGCGAAAAGGAGAAGAAGAAGCAACGCGAAGAGAGTGAAAGCTTTATTTATATCCGTGACATTCTGTTTATTTTGGCTGACAGACCCGGGGCTCGCCCCCTGGGCTTTAGCAAGTAACGACACGGCAACCCTGATCGCTTCCCCGGCGAGTCCCATCCTGTCCCCGGTTCCGACATTGTCTCAGCTCGATTACGTCACGCCTTGACGGACGTGAGAGTCCGGAGTTAAATTAGTTGTCGATTTCTTCGTGGAAACGATTACCACGCCAACAGTCGCGCGCGCGCACCGATTATCGTCAATCTATCCGCGTAACTATCTCTTCTTTAAACT